TATATATATATATTTCTTTATGTAATTTTTTTCTTTTGTAAACCATTATACTTTTAATTATTAAAAAAACAAATTAATTTTTATTAAAAGTTATTAATAAAGTCATAATAACTCCCCATATTATTTATCTAACTCTACAATTTGTAGACTATTATATTTTTAATTATAAAAAAATTAATTTTTTATTAACTATCATTGACCAATTCTTAATAATAAATATTATATTTTTTAATTTTATTTTAAAAATATTCGAAACACTCTTAAGTATATATTATGTTATTTGTCATTTATGTTACTTAATTTAAATATATTAATTTCAACTACTTCTCTCATCAGATAATCGTATGTTACAGTATCTTTTTCTTTATTGTAATTATATAAACTTTCACACGTAAAGTTGAATTGGTGCCCAAATTTCTATTGGAGCTGCATTGTTTAATTATTATCTTGTATGCAGCAAGAGTTTCTTTCTCATAAAGACTGTGGCACCGTTTAGTTGCACCACTCAGGTTACAACGAATGGCTGGAGACACAAAATCCGGAGGTGAGACTGAGAAACAAGCGGCACGAGGTTTTGTTTTGTTGATACCTTCATTTCCTTACCAAAACTGCCTTTCTCTCGCTCTTCAAATCCACTAACTTCTCTTTCTCTCTCTTACTTAAATGCTTTGTTTTTTCCATGGGAAACCTCCCAAAACCACCCTTTGAACTTATCTAAGAAAGAGAAAAATAAAATAAAAAAAAATAGATTAAAAGTTTTAGACCGAGAAAATGAAACTTCTCAGAACAAACCAGAAGTCACACATGGGGTTGGTTTCCTAGCCTTAAGTTTTCAGTCAATTTAACTGTGTCATGTTCTTGTTAAGACCTTGATTATTGGCTTTCTGGGTTTTGTTTGGAGAAGAATCTGTGCTTCGCTCTCTCTTCACTTCTGTGTAAAATTCACGCATAGTCCTTTCTCTCTCTGTAGAATTTAATCATTTAGTGTTTTAATTTTCTTGTTCTTGTGTACTTCCGGTTCCATGTAAATTTAGTAGTGGTGTGTTGTTCCTACTAAGTGTGGTGTATGATTATCCTTGTTGTATAGAATTTTTTAGTTGGTGTGATAATGACACAATTGGGAATAAAAAAATTAAATAAAACCTATCCTTTTGGAACAGTGAGTCGCTTTCTTTCAAGGTAAGAGAGGGTTTTGTTTATGTAGTTTAAGATATCCCAACTTGTTGATGATCCTCTTGTGTGAGTAATCCCAGATGTTTTCTGTTGCATCCCTTCCTAGGATTTGAGATACTCTTATTCCTTTGCTTCCTTAATTGGAAACAAGCACACCATAGCAGATCTTTCCCCTTTTTTCACTTGTGAAGTGCGCACACAAAAGAAAAAAAATTTTAAAAAAAATCATATCCATCTTTCTCTCACCCTGTACCTGTACGTCTTTAACTTTTATCTATTTTCTCTCTCCTCTCTCTCACTCCAAACACCCCATACCTATACCATACCTGAAGCCAACAGAATTCTCAAAAGGGTTTTCAAAGTTTCAACCTTTGAGGGTGGTTTTTTCTATTTTTTCTTTCTTTTTTTGTTCTTATTTTTTGCAACTCTTGCAAAGATCTTGAATTTGTTGATATGGAGTGTGAAGTGGAATTACAAGGAGGAGATCTGCATGCAGGAGTGGTAACTGAGCCAAACTCTCTTGGTTTTAGCACCATGGAAGATGCACACACTTTGGCGGTTGCTGAGAGAGAGATGTGGCTGAATAGTGACCAAGACGAGTTCCTAGGTGTCAACGAGGCTTCCATGTTCTACGCTGATTTCCCTCCTCTCCCTGATTTCCCGTGCATGTCATCGTCGTCATCATCATCTTCAGCTCCACCACTTCCTGTGAAAACCATGACATGTTCCACCACAACAACAACCACCACCACCACTTCCTCATCTTCCTCTTCATCTTCTTGGGCCATGTTAAAGTCAGATTTTGAGGAAGATGCCGAGAAAAACCATTGCAACCCTTACATGCATGACCATCTTGATGCAACGGCTTTATCCTCCACCGCTTCCATGGAGGTATCTCAGCAGCAGAACCCTGATCCAGGCCTTGTAGGCACTGTTGGAGAGTGCATGGATGATGTTATGGACACTTTTGGCTACATGGAGCTTTTGGAGGCCAATGATTTCTTCGACCCTGCCACTATTTTCCAGGATGATGAAAGTGAAAATCCTTTGGTAGACTTTTCAACACTGGAGGAGCAAGTGCCGTTGATGGAGGACCAACATGCAATGGAGCATCAAGAAGGGGCGAAAGGAGAGGAAGATCATGAGGTTCCTGTGTGTGAAGAAGGTGGTGTTGAAGGAAGTGTAGATGATGAAATGAGTAAGGTGTTCTTGGAGTGGCTCAAGTCTAACAAGGATAGTGTTTCTGCTAATGATTTGAGGAATGTGAAGCTCAAAAAGGCGACGATAGAAAGCGCGGCGAGGCGTTTAGGGGGAGGAAAAGAAGCCATGAAGCAGTTGCTGAAGCTGATTCTTGAGTGGGTTCAAACCAGCCATCTTCAGAATAAAAGGCGGAAGGAGAATAATGGTAGCATCAACACTGCACTTCAGGCACAGTTTCAGGATCCTGGTGGCCAGAACAACCAAACCACACAAACTGCTTCGTTTGCACCTGAATCAAACTCTTGTTTCAGCAACAACACACCCTGGTTGAGTCCTCAAGCTTTTGGCACAGATCAGGCTCCTATCATGCAATTTCCACAACACATGGTTGGGTATGTTGGTGACCCTTACACCAGTGGTGGTGCAGCTTCAAATAACAACCCTTATCAACCTGGTGCAGATCAATATAACATGTTGGAGTCAGCACATTCATGGCCTAATTCACAGTTCAATGTTGCTTCTCAATATAGCCAGTCTTTTGGGGAAAATGGTATTTTCCCAAATGGGGGTTTTGGCGGCTATGGCAATAATAATCAGTACCCTTATCAGTTTTTTCATGGCCCTGGTGATAGGTTGATGAGGTTGGGGCCCTCGGCTACCAAGGAAGCCAGGAAGAAGAGAATGGCTAGGCAGAGAAGGTTTATGACTCATCATAGGCATCACAATAGTAATAACCACCAGAATAATCATGGATCTGACCCTAGATTGGGGAGTGATAATTGCACCACTGTTATGGCTGCACCTCATGCAAATCCTGCAGCCAATTGGATGTACTGGCAGGCTATGACGGGTGGCACGGCCGGTCCTTTGGCGCCGGTGGCTCCAGCCGAGTCGCCGGCAGCGGACCGGTCGGCCATGCAGACACAGAATGGTCATCAGGGTCGAGCTGCATCAGATAGGAGGCAGGTTGGTGAATCTTAATTTGATCAGATATTCATGTCAATAGTTTGTTTTGGTGAATGTATAATCTATGATATGTGACTAGTAAGATGTATATGTTGCATTTTTTTGTCCTGCTGCGAGTATCTCTCACTCTACTAGATTAGAGATTAATCTTGTTAGTACTACTGAAACAGTTGTCAGTAACGTGGTTGTTGCTGGTCCAAAGGATTTTCACATATGACTGAGATCAAACATTATCCTTAATTTGTTGAGATAGAGTTATAGTTTTCTTATTTAATGAATAGTGTGTGACTTGTTTTGTGATATCATGTGTTTGGATGATAGGGTTGGAAGCCTGAGAAGAACTTGAGGTTCCTTCTGCAGAAGGTGTTGAAGCAAAGCGATGTGGGAAGTTTGGGGAGAATAGTTTTGCCAAAAGTAATCATTTATCTTCTGCATTCCTTTTTATTATTATTATTATTATTATTAATTACTTTCTGGTAGATTAGTTTCTAATTTGGAATGTACAGTACATTTGTTTTTGTTAATTTGAATCATAATGTTGATGAAAAAAATTGGTCAGAAAGAGGCAGAAACCCATTTGCCAGAGCTGGAGGCAAGAGATGGAATTTCCATAACCATGGAAGACATTGGAACTTCACGAGTTTGGAACATGCGCTATAGGTATTCTAAATTTCATTGGCAAATTTTTTCTGTTGTGCTTTAATTTTGCTTTACCTTTGTGATATGTGTTGATTAAAACGTTCTCTTTTGAATTTTTTCTTCTTGGAGCACCAGATACTGGCCAAACAACAAAAGCAGAATGTATTTGCTCGAGAACACTGGTGAGTTTCTTTGCTTTGGATTTGAGTCAAATAATGAATAACCTTCCCTTTTTTTTTTCTTTTACTTTCATTTTCAAGGAACTTTTTTATTCAAATATTCATATTTCACTGTGCAGGCGACTTTGTGAGAGCCAATGGACTCCAAGAGGGAGATTTCATAGTGATATATTCTGATGTGAAGTGTGGCAAATATGTAAAGACCCTTTTCTCATTTTCTACTATTTTTCATGATTTTCCATTTTCTTAACGTGTTTCTATAATATTATCATACAATAATACTTTTATCACTATACACGTATTTCTTTTTGTAACCAAAAAATAAAGTTACATGAATACAATTTCTCTTTTTCTTCCCTCACGTTAAAGTGTTGAAAATTAATTGGTGGGTTTATTTATTCATTTATTGAAACAGATGATAAGAGGAGTGAAAGTGAGGCAACAAGGTCTGAAACCAGAGACGAAGAAAGCAGGAAAATCGCAGAAAAACCAGCATGGAACTAATGCAGCAACTACAGCTGTTACTGCTGCAAATAATGGCACGCCATCGTCACCGAAGCAAAAAGCTGAAAAAAAGTAGCAAATTAATATAATATATACATTATATGTATGTACAATATATTATATTATATTATATATAATAAAATAAGAGACTCTGAAGTCTGAACACATAATGTTGTGGGGTTTCAGCATGCCCTTCAATGGAGGCTGTCAAGGATTTGTATAACAGTATTTTGGGTTATATTTCTTTTCGTATTTAACTGCGATTGTTATGTGAAAATGTTGTATGTGTTCAACGTGGATGATGTACATGTTACTTTGTTAGTGATGTATAATGTACTATGTGCCGTCCATTTATGACTTGATAGAATTTTACATTAATTAAAGTTGATGTCTTGTATTATGAAACGATATATGTAGCTAGGCATGATCGAGTAATTAGAAATTATTTTATACACGATTTTTAAATTAATTTTATGTTATCATTGTGTTATAATTTTTAATTAAACTCTCAATTTGTTGTTTGTAGAATATTTTTCTTAACATAATAATTTTGAATAATAAATATGAATGTTGATAATTAATTTTATCTGGTTGATCACCCCAATAGCTATGGTTCTAGCTAATGGGATGTTTATTAACATTAAGTGAAGCTTCTGTTTATTTAGCTTCTCTTTTTTTTTTTTTGTTTCTAACCTGAATTTGAATGGTATTAGTAATTTATTAATTGTTTTAATGGTGAGTGCTCATGTGGGAAGACAACTAATAGGAAACACGAAATCATTTGTTTGTACCAAAAATATTCAAATATGAAGAGTACGGCTAAACCTTGAAATTGATCTGAATTAGCTAAAATATTACCAAATATAGTAATTTTTTCATGTTGAAAGATAGATTATCTTTTTTCCTTTTAGGGTTATCAAATTTTTGACGGAGATGCAAGTGAAAATCTTGTGGTTATAGAAAAATACTATTGTTGGATTATTCTTGACTTATGTTGCAGCAAAGCAGAAAGTAATAATTATGTAGCAAATAAAAAAAAGCAGAAATTTATAATAAAGAAAGAAAGAGTGAAAAAGAGTGGAAAATTGATGTATGTGACGTAGAGAAGTAGATATCATATTGACTTGAATTGGGTTTAAGGATGAAGGAGCCGTGTACGGTCTCATCAGTGATACAAGAATTTGACATCCTCTTGTTTTCGATAAAGGAAAAAATGATGAGCTCATGTCAGGAATGGATTCTTGGCCATAGATAGCAGGTCATTTTCAGACTTTGTCTTTTATTTCTCTATTAAATTTTATTTGGTTTATTTGAAGAGAAATATGTTAAAATATATTTTTGATTTATCTAAATGTAGACATTTGTTTTGATCAATTATTTTAAAGATATTTATTTTGAGTTTTAGCTTTTTTTTTTTCCTAAAAGAAAAATTTAATTGAGTTGGGTTATAGAAATTCACCATAATCAAAACTCTCAAAGCATTATAAAAACTTACATAGACATATTTAAAAGATTATTTAGCTATAAAATCCTTACATTAATAGATATTAAACTCATTTTTATAGAGTATGAGTTTGTTTCTTATCAATCGGACTAACATTAATATTATTCTTCTAAAAAAATAAGTTTTTTATACCATTTTAAACTTTATAATTAATTTAATACAAAAATACAATTTCACTAAATTTATCATATAAATATTATATGTAGTCTAAAAAGAATATTATAAACATAATAAAAAGTGTGTGGATAGTGGACACAAATAAATTAAATAGAATTTGATATTATATTTTTTTTGTCATGTTAATATCTTATTTTTTGTTTGATTCTAAATAAAAATAATAATTACTATTTTAAAAGGTAACATTAATTCAAATTAAAACGTTAAAAAATAAATCTTTAAAATAAGATATTAAAATGATTATTTTAATAAAAATACATTTTTAGCATATAAAGTACATATAGCTCCTATTTCATTAGAATTTAAAAGTTATTTTTAGTACAAATTAAATATTATTTTGTTCAAAAGTTACGGTGAAATTTGATAAAGTTTAGGATTAAAAACACATTTAATAGTAGACTAGACCAAAAGTAATATTTTTCTTTTGGGATTTTATATTATCTTAACAAACTTATATTTTATTAATAATTATATATATATATTTTTTGTTTGATATGAGATACACAATTTTTTTTTCTTTCTACAATTTCAAAATCGTGACTAAAAATTATAAAAACAAGAGTAATTATAAAATGTTATTAATTTTTTGAAAGATTACAATTAAAAAAAAAAAAGAAGAAACTCAAAATATTAATATGTAAGCACTCAAAAAAATAAATCAAAATATAATATTAATATAGATTGAAAGTTTTTTACTCTTAGATCATATATACAAAATTTTATATTAATTCAAGATGATTTGATACTTCATTCTTGTAAAACAAAATTGACGTAATATATACATTTCAAAATATACTAAAATATGAACATTTTTTTTTTATTCGTCCCCTACGTTGGAGGCACCTTAAAGGGTGGGATATAAACATATAAAGTGATATGAACTTTCAATCCGACGATTGAATTTACAAAACTCACATTTAATATAAAATTATTAAGTGGTGTAATACTTAGTAAAAGTTACACCGGTGTTATTATAACCTTTCTTATTTTAAAATATATAAATTATTATTTAAACTTTTAAGTTTATAATAAATAATTTAAATTGTATCATAATATTAATTTTAAATAGAAATAAGTAGATTGTTAATTATAGAAGTAAGTATATATATAAATAAGGATTAATTAAATATAATATAATTATTATTAGTAATATAATTATTATATATTTATAACGGTTCGGACACACTGGAATGAGAGGGATCCAAAGATAGTATAAGTATGAGATTGTATAGTTGAGAATGACTTAAATGAATTAATTTGTACTATTTATACTGACAACATGTATTTGCTTTTCTGTATCTTATCTCATCAGAACTCCACAGTTAAGTGTGCTTGAGACTAGGGATGGCAACGGGGCGGGGCGGGTACGGGTTTCATGATACCCGTCCCCGTCCCCGCAACTCAAATCCATACCCGTCCCCGTCCCCATACCCGTCGGGTATGTAAATTTTGTCCCATCCCCGTTCCCGTCGGGTTTTGGGTATACACGTACCCGTACCCGTAAAAAAATAATTTTTTAAAAACGGTGTGATGTGATGAGAGTGAATACCTAAAACTGAGGGCAACACTATGATTCGCGTTGGTGTGGTGAAAGTGGTGGAGCATGTGCTTGTTCACAAAACGGCTGCACAGAACCTGCTTACAGGAAAGGCACAACCAGTTTTCGGTGGGGTGTTGGCACGTGTTGCAGTGAGTGTCAAGGGTCGGAATGTGACTCAGATCGTCGGATAATGCGCCCAGGTGGTCGCAGGAAGTTCTAGCAGCCACCCATCCCGATTCAGACCCATCTTCTTCACTTAAACCTAAACCTTCCTAATCCATAAACATTTATTCAGTCATATAATCAAACAAACATTTATTGAACCATATAACCAAACTTTTAAAGGTTTCTTCAAAAGCAGCCCTACGAGCTTTTCTCCACATGTTCCCAATTTGATGCAAAGCCGTTAGAGGAGTAAGTAGAAAGCTCACAAGAAGGCTGAATTTCTTGATTTTCCGCTGCGAGGGAAGGAAGAAAGAAGATTGAGCGAGAGAGAGACGTACCAGTCGTGGTGAGGGAGCCGCTCGGAGGGAGAAAGTAGAGGCTAGAGTGGCCGGTGCGGTGGCTCCGTGGCTCGGAGGGAGAAAGAAGAGTGCTTGGAGTGTGAATGAGATTTGAAATTGAAACCCTAAGTTTTTGCTTGCTCAGCGTGGCCTAGAACAATATTTGAAATGTTATTTTTTTTAAAATAATTATACGAGGACGGGTATTTAACGGGGGACGGGGATGGGGACGGGGATGGGGACGGGGACGGGGCGGGTAAGTATATACCCGTCCCCGTACCCGTACCCGATTTCTTTTATCAGGTTTTACCCGTACCCGTACCCGTACCCGGTCAAAGTGGGTATTCCCCGTCAAAGTCGGGACGGGTTCGGGTATTACCCACGGGTACGGGTTTATTTGTCATCCCTAATCCAAAGATAGTATAAGTATGAGATTTGATAGTTGAGAATGACTTAAATGAATTAATTTGTACTACTTATACTAACAACATGTATTTGCTTTTCGGTAGCTTATCTCATCAGAACTCCATAGTTAAGTATGCTTGACTTGGAGAAATATAGGGATGGGTGACCTTCTAGAAAGTTTCCCAGAAATTAAGTAAGGACAAAACATGCTAAAAAGTGAAGTATTGTGAAATAAAATCCTTGAGAAGAATAGCGACCGAATTTGAGACGTCTATAAAATTTAATAAAATAAAAAATAAATATTTAGCGACATGTGCTTTAAGGGTCGCAATTCCAATTTTGCGACAGTTTGTGCAACGGTTCCAGTAACCATCGCAAAATTCACTCGTGGCGGACATTCCTATGACAGTTGGTGAACTGTCGCAATGTAGGTCATATAACTTTTGCAAAATCATCATTTTCTTGTAGTGAATCTTTGGTTGTTGAACCCTTCTTTTCTTTCTCCTAGATCCTCAAGAGTCTTAGTGTGGTGTTATTGGGGTTGACAAGAAAAACACAAATTTCCGACGGATATAGATCTGTCGAAAAATTTATATTTTTTGATGAAAATTTCCGACAGATATTTCCGTTGAAAATTTCTGACAGATTTATATTTCCGTCAGAATTTTTTGAAAGAATTTTCCGTCAAAAATTTTCCGTCAGAAATTTCTGACGGAAATATAAATCTGTCAGAAATTTCTTATTTTTAATTCTTATTTTCATTTTCTAAAATCGAAGTTTTTATTTTTAACTCTTATTTTTTATGTAATCATTTTTAACTACTTTTTATTTTTTTAAAAAAAGATAAATAATTATCTTAAGCGTCACCTACAACAATTACATACTATTATCGTATTGATATTTAACACCTCTAAAAAAAATTATTTTTTAAAATAAATATTATTTATCTACCTTAAAATAATCAAACTAGTGAATTTATATTTTAGAGGGATGAAAATCAAAGAAAAATATTTTACTCATTTTACAAGTACGAAACAATCTTTATAAATCTTACAAGGATGAAAAATAAAAAAAATTACAAAAACCAAAATCAAAATCACCCATCTTATAGGGACTAAAATATATTTAAACCTTCTAAAATTAATATTTTCGATCTTAACAATTATTTTAAATAAATAATATTTATTTTTAAATATTTATAATCTACTTAGAGATGTTAGTATATTGTCTTTAAAATTATAGTAAGCAAGTTCAAGTGTGAATATTTTCATATTTG